CCGCACTTGTCCAGCGTGGTGGACTATGGCCTGATCCCCCTCGTATTGAAGGGAGGCCCGTGCTCAGCAGTGGGACGTCAAAAAGGGCTGAATACAAGTTTTAAGAAAAAACGTCACTCACGACCGTTCTTCCAGAGAATAACTGTTTAACAGTTTTCTAAACGCATATTAGCTTAAGTGAAAATTTGGACTTAATTATAGTACAACCTAAAACTAAATCCATACTAATATTATAAATGTGAAAGTGTGTTTGTTTGTTTGTTTGTTTGTTTGTTTGTTTGTTTGTTTGGCCTTCTTTCACGTCAAAACGGAGTGACGAATTGGCGTAATTTTTTGTGTGAAGATTGTTGGAGGGCTGAAGTGAAGTGGAGGGCTGTGTGAAGATTGGTGACATTGGCTTTTTATCGCGGGACATTATCTAATTCCCACGGGAAACACTTTATAATACAATCCACAATAATATTTATGATTTCAATAAAATTAAATAAATACGCGTTTTAGCATTTTTCGAAATTCATTCTATAAGGAGGTACAATAGGGGATAAGACTGTATGAAACCTTTTTAGAGTTTTTTTGTAGTTTTAGCGCGAGCGAAGCCGCGGGTTCTGCTAGTATATTATAAAAATAAAAAACCCGACCGCATAAAAGCTAACTAAAAAGATGAAAACAAGTTCACGAAGAAATATAGTACTATGCAGTCGGAGACATACATAAACTTTTCATCCTTGCCGCGAGATTTTCACACTCGTATATATGTCTCCGACTGCATAATACTATATTTATGCAGCTTTTATGCAGTCGGGTTTTTTATTTTTATAATATACTAGCATTGTCCGCGGCCCCGCCCGCGTTTAGATGACCAAAAACCAAATTCTTAAGTTTTACATATTAGTATACTCTTACATTGTGGTATTTTTATTTTTTCTTAGAAATGAGATATTTTCCCGCAGTAAAAAGTATCCTATATGTTGACCCGAATAACCAGCTACCATCATACCAAATTTCATCAAAATCCCTCCAGTGGTTTTTCCGTGATGCGATAACAGACACAGACAGACAGACAAAAATTCTAAAAACTATAGATTCGGCCTTTGTATCGATAATAATGTTAATAATTGTTTACAATTATTATTTTATTATTATTAAAAATCGAAGTTTGAAACTTCCAAATAAAACTATTTACAAAACCCTGACATATTGATTTATTAAAAAGAAAAAAATATAGATTCTGATAAAACTTTAAATTTTCATGACGTCGTATTGTATAAAAAATAGTTACTTATAGTCGTCAGTCGTTACGCTCCCGTGTCAATGAAAGATCTCCAAATTGTATTTTGCAGTGGGCGTATCTTTATAATAAAATACTTATCAAAAAGCAATAACAATAATTTGTTCGATTTTATGTATGTCTATCTTAGTAATTAATTGAAGTGTTTTTATAAAGATTTTGGACTAAAGAGGTTTTAATTGTGTCCTTTTATTAATATAATAAAGTTATTACGCAAGTATTGGCGCCAAATATTCTTTTACAAAAAGATTATTGCTATAAAATTAACAATTAAAACATTATTTAATTGAGTCAAATTACTTTTACATTTATCATATGTGACTGAATGTACTTACGTTTAACATTAACTGTAATTTTATGTGATTTCGATATTATACTTATCGTTTTATAGTCATGTTCTCATTCATAACTTAAAAGGGTAATATACTGTCAAAGTTGCAATATATTTTTATACTTCATTTATCTCCTGGTTTTACATATTTTTTAAGCTAGATCTGCCTAAAGAATTTATATTTTATATAGTGTTATAAGCAAAAATATTTTTTTTAAATAGGTCTACTTATTTTAACCATACTTATAGAAAAAAAAATAAAGTTATGTAACTTTATAACCTTGACTTCAATAAAACCTCCATACACGAACACCTTTTTTATTTCATTTTTTTTAATTTTCAATTAAGATAGAAATTGGTACAAGTACAAGTGTAAGTAAAATCAAAGATTATAATATGTAATGATAATTATAATTAACTTTAATGAGTTTTTAATTTTTACCAATGAAGCCTAAAAAAACATAATTTGACATTAAATTACAGATAATAAATTTAAGAAATCATACATTGATCTAAATTAAATTACGACACAAAAGAGACCCTGAGACCCTTCTTTTAGAATTAAATAAATTACTATTTTATGAGGTTTCGTCGTAATTAAACATTTGATTTTCATAATATTAGTAGATTATAATTAAATTTTAATACAAGAAGCCCTTTCGATCTTGACGTAATTACGTATTGAGTCATGCGATTAGGATGTATGTAAGTGGCTTTATAGGTTTAAAATCATTAACATTATAAATTTACATTTAAATACATATATATGTAAATTAATGTTATAAATACATAACATTAACATAAACTAAACAATGGTAAACTTTTGTATACAAAAATGTAAATAATCTATCCTTTCAACAGTGATGATTATGATGATGAGATGATTTACGCGGATATTTAGATTTTTTGCTCCTCAACCAAAAATCAGGTTTTGGAGAACCAAAAATGAAAATAAATTCGCTAAACAATACGAAAAGATTATTTTAGTTATAAACAAAGAACTTCTTCTTCATCATATTTAGTTTTTCGCTAATAATTCAAAAACTATTAATAATTTAAAAATAAAAAAAATATCCTTAAATAGGAGGAAACTTTCGATAAAAAAGTCTCGACTTCTGGAACACTACCTCCATTATTTATAATTTCAATTCAACGCTGAAAATAGGGCTCCAAGCGGCCGATGAGTTATGCCACCGCCTCTAAAGCGAGTAGGTACTTTATGTAAAATATATTTTTTTACAGTATCAAATACTAATTTAAAAATTTGAATCAATTATTGTGTATTGTAAACACTTTAAAGAATTTAGTCGCGTTGGAAAACCTTGTAAGTTAATTTTTTCAAAACAAAATTTTGTCGGACCTTCGTTGTCATTGAAGACAACAAAAAATGTTAAAATAATTAATTGATCTATAAATGTTTTGCTCCAAGAGTTCTTCTTATATACATACTTAACAAGATCACGTCATGAAAGTTTTTAAAATTTCAATATTTTGTTTATTATAATTTTTTCAAGTTAACAAGATTGTTGGAATATTTCATTTGATACTTGGAATATTCATACTATTACGCTGGGATGACAATTCAACACTCACGGTGAGAGATAAGGCGCAGGATCGACGGTTTTGCGTTCTCTCCGAGGCACGGGGATGCACACTACCAACTTACCTTCTCCCTTCACTTTGGGCTACTAATGAGTATTTTATAGCAGAACTAGCATTGTCCGCGGCTCCGCCCGCGTTCAGATTACCAAAATCACTTTTTTTTTAATTACAATTTACATTGCAATTTTTGTATTTTTTCTCAGAAATGAGATATTTTCTCGCGGTAAAAAGTATCCTATATGTTGACCCGGATAACCAGCTATCGCCATACCAAATTTCATCAAAATCCCTCTAGTGGTTTTTCTGTGATGCGGTAACAGACAGACAAACAAAAATTCTAAAAACTATAGATTCGACCCCCGTATCGATAATAATGTTTATTTCAATAATATATTTCAAAAAATATCTAATGACCAGATTCGACTGGGTTACAATTTTATTATATGTATAGAAAATACAATGTCTATTTTGTCCCAGCACTGGACTCGAATCTACGACCTTACGGTTTGCAGCTATATATGCTAGCCACTAGACCTTCTTGGTGACCTAATAAAAGTAGAGAATCTTATTATACAAATATTTTTTTTTAACTTAGTATTTAGTTTTTTGACGCACAGTTCAGTGAAGACCAGTGACATAATATTGTAAAGTTAAAAGAATGTTTGAATATAAGACGATTTCATTCATCTTCGACATTAATGTTAATGGTATTCGAAGTTTAGATCACGTATGTAAATTCAATAGGGTTTAATTTTCTTATTTTAATTTTCTAATTGTTTATTCAAAGCCGTGCCTATGTAACATTTAAAGAATTTACAGCGAAATATTTTGTAATTACTCTTGTAAAATTTGTATTATATTATATTCTTAAGCACATAAAATTTAATTACGTTTTTGTGGTATTTATTTACTAATTGTGAATTTGCTCATGAGATTTTTACGGGAGATATCAAAAAGGTCATCCAATAGAAATAAAATATGGATAATATAATGCAAATGTACTTAATGCGGTACTACATATATACATATATATTTTATTCATTTTGTATATATATATATATGTTTGAGTTCGACGTTCGTGTAATATTGCAGAACAATTTCATTTAAAAGGTTTCGTACATTTATGCCTCTCCTTAAGATTTATGAAAACCTGTGACCCGTGTCCTGTGACCATGACTGTTGTAAATCATTCGAAACCGCGTCGGAAACCAAAAATCCATCGGCAAAAAAAACTCGAAAAAATCCCAAAAGAGTGTTATTTTAAAGTGTTATGTTTACAAAATGCTTAAGTGTGGTTGTCGGCTTAACCTTACTTCTTGCAACCATATGAACGGATTGATGTTATTTTTAACCAACTTCGAAAAAGGAAGTTCTCAATTCACGTTGTACGGTTTTTTGAGTATGTTGCATGATTTTTTGTCAATTGAGAACAGAGTTACATAACTCTATAGTTAATAGGTTCCAGCGTTAACGGTCTTCTTCGTCTTCTAATATTGCCAAAAGCGCTAATATTGAAATATAGACTTACATTTAAAGTGAAATCATTAAGCATTTATAGTAAGAAAGTATTTATTTATCTAATTTATAACGTGGACAATTCTGTAAAATAATTTACATTAACTTTTAATCTAGACCAACAAAGCAAATGTAGTATAAGATAGATATAAGAAGAAGATATAAGAGAAAATAGATATAAGAAGAAGAAAAAATGTAGTATAAGATACAGTAATTTATTTTATAATAGCTAAAGATATAATAGGTCTCCAACTTTTCTTTCAGGCGACCAGTGCCCTATTCACTTTGGATGGGGCTAGAGGAGAAGAACTAACTAGAAGGCTGGCACGAGGAGAACGAAAACGAAGAAGATGTAGGGCAATACTGGCTGTTTTTGCTGTCCTTCTACTAGTCGCAGCAGTAGGGGCTGTTGAGTTGCTTATGTCGAGGGGGCAGAGAGTTTTTGGGGCAGTTCTCCGCTGATTTTACCACATTTTGTGACATTTGGTAAGACTATGCTATAGTAATTTGCTATTTTGCAAATATATATATTTGTTATTATTATTAGTTAATCACAATGTGCAAATTATCGTGTGTGTTTGTATGTTTATTTCCAAAAAACTCAAAATTATTTGTAATTTTCTCAATTTTGGTTCATTATTATGTGATAATAGATACCTATATTAAGTTAGAACTTGTATTTTAGTTTGTAAGTCCTCGTATTTTCTTAGATTTGGTAAAATTCATTTCTATCATATTTTTGTTATTAGGAACAATCCTCGCTATATCAAAAATTTCCAAAATTCATTTGAATATGCAATTTTTTTTATTTCTTAATTTATAGTTTGTTATGTGTTATATACATATAAGTATGTATTGTAAAGGCTTAGAATTAATTATTATTATTATGCTGAGAAATACAAAAAAGATTTTCGGAGTGTTTTGAATTATAAACATACACGAACAATTCAAAATTTCAAATCAAAATATTTTTAAAATATGCCGTTTGTATCTAAGATTTTATATTTTTTTATCATTTTTAGTGATATAAAAGCTAACCTTTTTGATTAAATAAGTATATCAAATATAGAAAATATAGTTATCAAAAAAGGCCATGTGTGATATGTTATAGATAGTTGATAAGTATAGTAACACTAAGAAGCAACATGCATGAGAAATGTTTATGGGAAAAAATATACGTTGTGTGATTTAGTTACTCATTATATTATTGTTTTTAGTCACAAATTATTCTACCTATAATCTAATTATATTATTTTATCATTAATTATGTTAAATAATTTATATCTACATTTTTATTAATAGCAACATTTAATTTCATATTAAAATTTAAAAAGCCAATTTAAAATTTCAATAGCTTTTTCTATTAAACCTATGTATCTTGTAATTTTTTAAACTGTGCCAATAATATAATTGACAAAATTAATGATTTTTATTATTGTAGAATACAAAAGGCAATTATTGCTTTTAGTGACAAAATATTCCGCGTATTATATTTTTAACCGACTTCCATAAAGGAGCGGGTTCTATGTTCGTCTATATGTATGTTTTTTTATGTATGAATTCCACTATCGAAATAATATTTATTTTATTAAATATACCTATAACTAGTTATAGAAAATAGGTAAGGTTTCTATCACAAAAAATATATGTACATATATTGTTGAGAAATTTATTAAGTGACGTTGTGAAGTAAAAGTATGAAAATAGTGCGATTAATCTAAATTGTATACAACAAATATTATACATTATTTATATACATATACCAGCCCTTCAACATTTGTATAAATAAAATACCGTTATGAGTATATTTATTACGGTTACACTAATGCTTTCAGCAAAGGTTGTCTGTAAGATATTGCTCATAGCAAAGATCTTTGCATGCCTTTTTGTTATTTTTCTTTTCATCTTCTGTACTCTTCTTTTGTGTGTTCTTGTTCTTTTGTTGTGTTTTGTTGTGTTTGTGCCGTTTTAGTGTGGAGAACACTCCACACTAAAACGGCTGGACATATTAGGATAAAATTTAGTACACAGATAGGATAACAACTGGAGTAACACAGGCTACCGTTAAGTAGTTTCCTAGAGACATAAATCTGCTAGATAGTGTAATATAAGTTTTAATCAAAGCTACATATACATGCTATATATTTGTTTAATTAAGTGTAATTTAGCTTTGTTAGTGGAATACATAAATATTTGCGTTATAAAATAAACATTAGGAATTCTTTTTTTATATATAACATTTTCTCGAAGGATAAATTTATTGTTATCCAAATGTGTAATCTTAACAATAACTTAACTTTAATTTGGAAACAATATCAACTTTTATAATTTAAGTTCATAAATAATATAATTTAGCAAAATCTATGGTATGTTGTAATCTTTGTATCTTCAAGTCATAGTAACAAACTATTAAAGTACCCAATCATGTAAGAAAGCTTTTAAAAAAATAATATAAGTTAATAAGCTCGTACTATGTGCGTAGAACTAAAGCTCTACACAGGTATTTTCAAATAGATAATAATTCTAATAATAAATAAAAATAAATAATAATAATTTCAAATAGATATTTAGTTCTGCTCAAACCAGTAGAGTCCAGTGAAACTAAAACAACTAACACAATATGCTATGAAGTTAGTTTTTATAAGTATATATTAATAAAATAAAAATATTTTAAATATGTAGATAATATATTGTGATTTTATATGAAATATTTTGGCTGTAGAAAATTGAAATGTAATTTCATCGAAGTGTGTGATGTTTTGTGAAGAGGGAAATAAAATAATAAATATATGTGATGTAGCTTATTCATTTCCCCTTATTTGTATTCAGCCCTTTTGAACGTTCCACTGCTGGGGGTGGGTCTCCCTTCAGTACGAGGTCAGGCCATAGTCCACCACGCTGGCCAAGTGCGAGTTGGCGGACTTCACATGTCTTTTGAAAACTTGGTAGGTTCTCTCAGATATGCAGGTTTCCTCACGATGTTTTCCTTCACCTTAAGACAAGTGGTAATCATTTTGGAAATGATTCATATAACAAAATATCAGAGGTGCGAGACCCGGGATTTGAACCTGCTTCACTCGATTTCCCAAGCGAGCGCGCTAACACTGGGCTATAATAATATTATTAATCTTTTTCAATGCCTACATATATTTTTCTATGAAATGTAAAAAATTTAAACTGTTAATTATTGTTTAAATTTCCAATGTCACTCAGACTGGCCAGCTCTGTAGGGAGCACTAACTACTCTTTCTTATATTGCAGTCCCTTTTTTTTTTTTAACGTTGGGAAATGCATTTACGCACGACGTGTGGGACTCACCGGCGTAATACAACCAGTACTACCCACTAAAACCCAACAAAACCTTCCCCCGTCTTAATGGGGCGTCGCAGGATCGCTTACGCATTCAACTACGACGCCCCGACGGCAGGTCTGCCAAAGCAGACCACCACAACCAAGGGGTTGCTCCAAGGTCCACTCTGCTATCAGAGAAGTACCAGGAGCAACCCGCAAGGTACACCGCCCCCCGAAGAGGGCCACCTCCCACCGCCCACCGAAGTGGGCAACCTCCCTGTGCGTTTCTTAGCTTCGCTACTACTACTGAGCCCCCCCACCACGACAAGGTGAACGCACGTTGGGGGGGCTTATATTGCAGTCCCTGTGTCATGTGTGTGATAACAACGTGCACTCATTATTCATTCAATTCAATTTTCTTTTTAATGACTTTAAAATGAAAGCATTTTAGGCGCAGGGCAGACACTTTATTCGCTCTCCGGGGTACGGGGCTGAAACTGCTACTAAAATTTCTTGACAGAAAAATCATTCATTTTTTTGGGGCAATCTGGGTTTCGTATCTAAGACTCAGAATCTCAAATAAACTGACTTAAGTAAATAAATCAAAAAAATAAATAAAAGAATTTAATGAATTTTTATTTTAAAAAACTGATATTACATAAGCATAGGGGAAAGGAGGGTACACTGGATCACTTTTTTTCAAATGTAGTTTCACTATATAAATAAAGTATAAATTACCAATATTTATATGTAGAGCAATGAGATGTTAAGTTGGCTATATACATCTAGTTCAACTTTAGCAATAATATTAATAGTTTTCTGAAAGCAAAGGTTTTTTTAAAAAGAGGGAAATTATTCATTGTACCCCATATATGGGGTACATTGGATCTCCCCATGGGGTACAGTGGATCTTATTGGGGCACAGTGAATCAACACATGAAATCATCATACATTTTACTGTTGGGTTACAGCGAATCAATCAATATTGTAAAAAAAATTATATAAATAAAAATATTTATGAATTATGTGAACACTTTTAATCAACAATATTACAAAATTATCAATCTCTATTTATTTTCTATCAGTCGTAGGTAACACATTAATTGTAGTGATATCTTATAAAACATGTACTTAGTATTTATATTAAGCAGTTTAAGGTATTATTTAAGGTTTAAAAATTATTAACTAGATATTATAAATCTTGAACGAAACAAAATAAAACATATACACAATAAAACTAATTTCAAAAATAAAAACATATCACGTTAATACGAAAAGAAATTGAAAAAATAAAATAATAATTAACGCAATCTTAAGCGAGAAAAATTTAGATTGATATCATTTATAGACTTGCTGTTGTCGTTTAGTGCTATAAAATGTAGGCAGAGGTAATTTCATTATTATATATTCTAGGGGTACTGAAGCTATATTTGGAACATCAGGTAATCTGTACCCATTCTTTACTTTTGTTCTCCTTCCCTTTCCTGTGTAAAATACTTTCTTTTTATGTGCATCTAACTATACTAGACGCAAAATTTATTCTTTTCACTCTCTTTGTACTTATTAGTCGTTTCTCTCTCTTAATTTGTACTACTCCTTTGTTTTTTTCTATCTTCGTCACTAGAATCGAACTGCATAACTTTTTTACTAATATGTTTTGCTACTTTCACAAGCTTATTAATTTTATCTTGTTGACGTTGCTCGATATATTCTTTATTATTAATTCTTTTTCAAGTGAAAATCTTATTTACCCCATAATTGGGAGTTAAACGTAGCTTGCCAATGTGTTTTATCTTTTCGCATAATATCTATGTAAGATTGCATATGGATTACTTTTCGAGTTTTACAACTTTTCTAATTTTGTTGCCCCGTAAAACAAAGACAATGGCATTTTGTCTATTCAGTTATTCAGTAGTTAGACCAATTTGAGTCTTTCTCTTTCGGTGCCGTGCTATGTTGTTAATCTAAAACAAAATTTATTATTACATACTATAAATAAAATAGTCTAATCAACTCGAAATTTAGTGTGGAGTACAGTGCATCGCCAATCCATTGTACCCCACATAGAAATGGCCCACAGTTCCCCAAAGCACCACTAACAACTGAACAACAAATTCCTATTACTTACATAATCTATACGAATCAAACAGCTATTTATTTCTGAAGCTTATTAGATTATTGTTTAGGTAATTTAAAGTAAGTCATTCAATATTAAACATTTTCGTTAATAAAACACTCGAGTAATAGTAGTAAAAAAATAGATTTGATACTCACGGATAGCCAAATGGCGGTAACACATTCTTCAACAGTGAGAGCGTGATGGACACTGGCGGGGTAGAGGTGTAAGTACTAAAGCATGCGTTCCATTATTGTGGTACGTGTATAGAAAGCATAGGCAAAGAGAAGTAGCCACTGATTCACTGTGTACTACGGCTCACTGTACCCCCCTTTCCCCTATACATAAATAAAAAACTTAAAAATTTAAGCCTTTATTATTAATCATTCAAACATATTTTATCTAATTCAAACAATAATAATTAAAAATGTCATTTCATACAAATAATATTTAGTTGTCAGGAAAAACTACTTCATCGATTCTTTGGTCCATCTCGTTCATAGGAACATCGTCTACAACTTGGCAATTGAATGCTATTGCTATAACCTAAAAATGATAATTAAAAAATTATAATGTACCTAAAAATATATATAATAGCCTAAGAAAGATTCTTAAAAATATAAAATAATAATATTAATTAGAGTTTTAAACATTTCGAAAAGACGGTTTTAGCTACAAAATAAGGTAATATTATCAACAAAATAATTTGTAATAGTTTCTGTTATATTGTGGGTTGCTCCTGGTACTTCTCTGATAGCAGAGTGGACTAAGAAAGCAACCCTTTGGTTGTGTGGTCTGCTTCAGCAGAAATGCCGTCGAGGTGTCGTGGTTGAGTGAGTAAATGATCTGCGATGCCCTATTAAGCCGGGGGTGATTCTGTTGGGTTTTAGTGGGTAGTACTGGCTTTTCTGGCCAATGAGTCCCACATAACTACCTGTTCGTGTGCGCCGCAGGCATGTACAGTATTTTATTAATAACTTTCTATTCACCTTAGGTGCAGTCGCCGGATTAGTCCTTATGTTAGCAATATACTTGTCATAGTAGCCACCGCCATGACCTACTCTTCCACCGTTCTTTGAAAATGCAACTCCTGGTGCTATTATTAGGTCTAGTCCTAAAAAAATATAACATTTAGAACCACTCATATTTCTTTAAATATGAGTGGTCCTAAAACAGTGAATGAGAGAGAGGTGGGAAAGGAACAAAAACAGCAAAAATTTTGGTCTTACTTCCAGACAGATAGTATCCATCTCTTCGTAAAACAAATATTTTAATAATATATTAATGCAATCTAACATGTTTTTATTTACAGCCAGATGACAAAGTGATAAGGAAATTCAAAATATATAGGTACTAATTAGTGTTTATTTAAGTCATTAGAAAATAGTATTACTGTGAATTATCAATTCTGTAACATCCACCAAGTAAATACCTGGGTTATAATTTTTATACGACCTCAATTAGAGCAATAAATAATATATAAATAGCTATTTATAATGTAAAGTGAGGTATTATAGAGTCATCTTGTTCTCAAAAAGTAAATAATATGCAGATGTAAACAAAATAAAAAAATAGATTTAATTTGAAAAATCGATAGCCATAGCAAATTAAAAAGCTGGATATCTATATTGTTGATAGAATTCGCATTTATTAAAAAACTAATGGCACACACTATATTTTTTCAAAACTTCAGACAGATTTCATCAACGTCATCTAAGTTTAAGGGATCCCCTAAGTATGGTTAGGGGGAGTAGGGGGACAGTTCCTGTTTCACCGACAGTTAGGGGTCACCTAAATGTTAAAAGACCCCCTAAATTTAGGTGCTCGAAATATGGGCTTAAAGACGATGGTAAAACGAAATTTAATTTAGGGGCTAGTTTAGGGGAATTTTAAGCTAGGGATCCCATACTTAGGTGGTAGCTTATGGGTTGTTGGTGAAATCGGGCAATAGTCATCTAACCAAGGCGTTTATACAGGGTAACAATGTGGTGATTAAGGGTTCACGACTGCCATACATAAAATTATATGACAACCGGGAAACGGCTTTAGGGTTGACGGATATAACTGTAAATTGGCAGAGATAACTACAACACTAACTTTGATATTTTAAAGTTAAAGCATTATAGTGTCATCTCTAAGCTTTGTAGTGTCTCCTGTGAAAATTTATATTTTTTTGATAACCCTTTGATTTGGCTGGATTTCCGTTAGTCCTTCAACGACCGCGGACACGCCGGCGTTACAGTTAACAATAGATTTCTTAAAAATTTAATTAATTTCTTAAATAATTGTTAAACCTATACGTATACCTTCATCTAAAGCGTCCTCCCTCTTCTGGTCCTTCGAGTGTTGCGCTATCCCGTGCCTGGTCAAAGGCATACTATCTTCATCCCCGGACTCCAGCCGTAGCATCCTCATCTTACCCCCCGCGTACTGTGGCACAAACGCCGCCGCGCCTTTAGATTTGATGTGCTTTATTATGGGCGCCGTGTTGACCTCTTGTTCTGTGCTCATAAATATGGCTATTCGTTTTGCGGATTTATAGACAGGATGATTCGTTATCTGGGAATGATTATTTGAAAAATTTGAAAGCATAAATTGTCTGCTAAAATGTCACCTAACAATATTTTCTTTTATATTATGCTTATTGCTTTCTTATATCCAATAGATTAATAAATGTATCACTTGATATACCGAAAAATTAAGCTATATTACGTTCAGTCGCAAAATTAACTTTGTTTTTATAAAATTTGTAAAAGTCTTTGCTTTTGCTCGATTAACGCTAGCGTAATTAATTTCGTGGGTACAGCGCCGTCAAAACAAATTGGTCTGTGTATATAATCCCTCATCTCTCGAGAATGTCTGAAGGGTTTTTAATTTTTACAGTAAAATACTGACTTCGGTCCATTGCTGCCAACGACCATTCAGTCGGGCTAAGTAGTCGTTGATTGCTGCATAAAAAAACAAGTCAGCAAGCGCACTTTCATATTTATGACTATATGTATAATATAATAATAATAGTAGCTTAAAATTCGTTTTTTTTATTTCAAATATTGTAAACATAAATCGAGAAACTTATATAATATAATACAGCATTTGTTGTATACCAGATCGATAACCTTTGTACACCAAAACGTTTGTTTATGTCAGTACTAATCCGTAACACGATAAGTGTGTGTTGTCTTAATAAACTCGGGATCCCCTTTATTTTAGATTAATAAGATAACAAAATTGAAAGTTATTTTTACATTAACCGATTGGCTTAATAAATAATCGAAATCAACAATCTATAAATCAAAACCTTGAAAATTATGATTTACTATAAGTGACTCACTCTCGATTTGCTAGGGTTTGTACCTAGTGAAAAACAAAAACAAATCTATTCCACGGTAACCCTACATTTTCCCGGGATAAAAAATAACCTATGTGCTATTCCAGACTATCCAGACCATCTATCTCTGCGCCAAATTTCATCCAGATCCGTTCAACCGTTCTGGCATGATTGGGTAACAAACATCCATCCAAACTTTCGGATCTATAATATTTATAGAATTATGCGATTACATTACACTTATCTAGTAAGTAGCGGAAGGAGAGAGATCAGTCTACATCTCGCATGGGAAGAATAGCGATCTGCGAACATAGTTTATAAATTACTATACATATATATAGCTGATGAAAAACACAGATAAAATTACTATCTTCTTTATATATGTATATAATTCTTTTGTACGTGCGTATGTCAGTACACTCCTCGTAAACGGCTGGACCGATTTTATAAAAAAAATGTGTTTTTTCGTGGGTCTCTGGATGGTTTAGATTCACAACTGGACCCTATTCACTCGGTAGATACCGCTGTAGTCCGGCTATGTTCTAAGATTTATTTTTATATATGCACGTACAGAAGATTTATTTATACTCGTATGTTTGATCAGGACGTCTGTCGGGTCCGCAAGTAGTTAGTAAAAAGGTGTTAAATTTTTTAAAATGTTGACATACTTTGTTATAAACTATTTCAGATTGTCGTTTCTTCTCATCTGCAGAGAGAGATGCAATGCTAGCTGCAATTTGTTCTCTTAACAGCACTTTCGCGGGGTCCGGTGTTCGAGTCATTTTTACTATTGTGCTGAATTGTCTGAAAACGTATAAATATTTCATCAGCCAAAAGTTTGTTTTATGTAGAAACTTAAAAGATAATAGAATGAAAGAATAGATGAGAGAGAAAAACAATCTTCCAAGTAGGTATAAAGTAAATAATAATTTTTAGGAAATCTAGCATACACTTATACGTGCTGCATTTCATTAATGCTTTTCATTTGTTTTCCATGAGTAACTTACCCACCTCTTGTTCGGGTGGGTCCCTAAGTGCCATTGAGTTCAATTAAAGTTATTATGATTTTTAACATTAAGCACACTTTTTACGAAATAAAAATTAGAAGGCAATACAGGTTTGAATAAGTAAACCAACTTTTAGAATCGTATCAATAGTTTTAGAGAATTCACCGACCGGCTACCTCTCATTTCCAAGTTTACAATCTAACAAACTTTACCTCCATATAATATTAATCTAAATTAGCCAACAGCTGTTTTAGGTTGAAATGTGAATTTATTCTTGTATTTTCAGTCTATCAATGTCTAATTATAACAATTTTAGTAAAACTAGCGATTCCCCATGCAAATTTTTATCCCCATTTTCACATCCTTAAGGGATGATTTCCGGGATAAAAAGTATCCTATGTCCTTCCCAGGGTCTCAAACTATCTACTTGCCTAATTTCATCTAAATCGGTTCAGTAGATCCAGAGATTACACCCTACAACGTCACAAACTCACAAACTTTACATCTTTATAATACCTATTAGTAAAGATAAGCATACTCAAAGTCGGCCCAGTAACTATTAAAGGCTAACGCGTATAATAAACACAAAGGCGGAGTATTCTTTAAGAAAAAAACGATGCAAATCAGTCAGTGACACCAAAACATTTAATTAGTAGATAATTAATAAGTTTTTATATCTACGTATTATTTAAACTAACAAAAAAAAACATGTACATAAAAAGTAAACTACTTATTAAATATTCTACCCACTTTTGCATATCTCAGTGTGACATAGTGTTAACAGTTATGAATATTATTATAATATTATGTAACTTAAAATAAATAAAAGAAAACATATAAACAATCAAGTCAATGTGTTTAAAATAAGGAAACTATGCTTGAAAAAATGTAATTGCTACTAGATGGCGTTATAAACCTCCAAACGTCTATTTTGATTAATACGTAACATGAATTAAAGAAATTATAACAAAATGAACTTACTCATGGAAAAAAACGAGTTTCCTTACCCACATCAGCGAGCACACTGTTTTAATAATATGATAATTGACACGGTGTTTATATCGTGTCGTGTCGTGATAAACAAGTTTGCTTAGAAAAGCAGCGACATCTTGTAACAGATGTTGGAACTCTTTGGTGTGATGTTTTTGTTTGTAAATTTTGAAACAGATGGCGCTATAGCGCCAATTGTTATAACAATTTATTTTTAATTTTCCAGTGTAGTGTTTAATTTTGTTAAAAAATATATTTTTTCATTTTATTAAAAATAATTATAATTTTTATTATTCTTAAATTTTAATTTCTTTTTATAAATAACGCCAATAATTAGATCAACTTTTTGCAGGTCTAAAATGTCAATGTTGTTATTTCATAATAGATGGCGCGCTTAAAATTTCTTTTAAAGTTGATTTTATTCGATCGTCTGCTTGTTTCTCTGCTTATTTCTTCTAAACTACGCAATGGATTTTGATACAACTTTCACTAATAGAAAGAGTTTTTTTGTTTTTGTTCAGTTTCAGCCTTACATTTTAGCATTACCATTTAAAAGTAATTTTTAGTATGAGTGTTAGTCTTTTGGTCCACAACTACTACACTAAATAATAATATGATGATAAAACGAGTGTTCTATTCGTCACCTTGCTACCACCTTTTAGTTCGTTTTTTTCACAGTTGGCTCATTTTTATTTTTGTAATATAATTTTCTATGCAGAGTAGACCGTTGGAGCAAATACAGTCTCCGTGGTTGTTGTTGTCTGCTTCGGCAGACCTGCCGTCAGGGCGTCGTGGTTGAGTGCGATTCTGCAACGCCCCATTAAGATGAGTTTTTTTTTAAAAAAGTATGAAAAAGGTACCGTCTTAATATGAAAAAATGTTGCTGTTGTTTTTAAACTAATTAAGTAATGAAACTTAGGTATCTATTTAACGCCACTTTCTAATTATAGCTTCACCTTTACTCTAAAAAAACAGATTTTTAAAACAAATCCTAAGTTAATTAAAAACGGCCAACACTTCATGTAAATAATTGAAAAACAAATTATATGTTTCAGAATTTTAAAAACGTTAGAGATTGTACAATGTTTTTACTGTTATTATATGAAAAAAATGTTTATTACTAGCATTTTTTAATCCTCTTGGGTCTTCGTTCTTGTAATTAACTAAGCAATAAAACTTTTTTTTTTAAAGATTAACTTTTGTACAATTTTGCATTTGTTAAATCTTTTAGAGAACAAGTTACGTTCATTCATATTTCTATGTAAACTATAGGTAGATACATATAATAAAATTCTAACAAACTCGAATCTGTACATTAAATATTTCGCGGAAAGTCTTATTGAAATAGTAATTATTATCGATACAGAGTCCGAATCTATAGTTTTTAGATTTTTGTCTGTCTGTCTGGGAACGCACCACGAGAAAACAACATTAGTCAGATTTTGATAAAATTTGGTATGATGATAGCTATATAATATAGGATACCTTTTACTGCGGGAAAATATCTCATCTCTGAAAAATCTATACTAAATGTTAAAACGTAGCTAGGGACGAACCCGAACCTATACGTTTTTTTATTATAAATACTAATAAGTTAATTACTACTAATAATAAGTTAATAAATAAAAGTTAATTTTAAAAAGGAAAAGATTATCTTGTTTATAAAGTCTTAGAGTACAAGTTTTTTTTTCTTTATTGGCTTATAGTTGCGTTAACAGATACAATCCATTCTGCCAGTGTCACGTTTTGTGAGAGGACAAGTTTAATACTTTCATTAAAATGTCTTCTGTCATGACGATTACTTTAGCTTTTAATGAACATTTGAGTTTTAATATTTCAATTTCATTCAACTACTATCGTAAATCTCTAGACAGCTGTCAAGGATGTTGTGGGTCCGCATAAAACAAACAATTTAACAAAATATCCATATTGTATAATTAATTGCCTATAATATTTTATATTATTGTTTGTTGTTTTGATTAAACCATCTATACATATAATAAAATTGTAGTCTGTACATTAAATATTTTTTGGAAAATCTTATTGAAATAAACATTATTATCAATACAGAGACCGAATCTATAGTTTTTAGAATTTTTGTCTGGCTGTCTGTCTGTCTGTCTGTTACCGCATCACAGAAAAACCACTGGAGGGATTTTGATGAAATTCGGTATGGTGATAGCTAATAACAGGATACTTTTTACCGCGGCAAAATGTCTCATTTCTGAGAAAAAATACAAAAACTGCAATGTAAGAGTATAATAATATGTAAAACCTAAGAATTTGGTTTTTGGTCATATAACGCGGGCGGAGCCGCGGGCAATGCTAATTACAAATAAATCTAAATTAATTAATTAGCAATTCAATAAGAATTAAAAAAATCAATAAGAATTGAAAAAATAAAATGGTGTTTTTTAAATCGTCATTACATGGCGAAAGAGAATGACTGGATTATCCAGTTCGTTATTTTGGTGCATGGTCTTGAATTTAAAGCGCTTTTGTATCAGATTTTTTGTAGTCCAGTTCTCAATATAAACAATCAATTTCTTCTCTATATAATCTGTTACTATGCCAAAGCTAACAATCCTCCGAACGCATTTTACATTACATTAATACATAGATTTATGCAATATTTACTAACGACTCACCCTCGCATCGCTCGGGTTCGTCCCTAGGTTAATTCCCCATACAAACTTTCATCCCCATTTTCACCGCATTAAGGGATGATTTCCGGGATAAAAAGTATGTCCTTCCCAGGGTCTCAAACTATCATCTTACCAAATTTCATCTAAATTTATTCTATAGATCCAGAGATTATCCCTTACCACCTCACAAACAAACTCACAAACTTCACCTCTTTATAATATTAATATAGATTATTTAAATATTAGTAAATGTTAAAATTTGCCAATCACACGTTTTAACATTAAACTGAAATGGGGTTTTCAGCAATATCCTGATGACATTACATCAATTTCAAAACAAATTGTCATAGTGATAACGTGAAAGGATTTGTAATTAGTTGTGTTCACCATGTGGTCGATGTTCTACTATAATTATTATTATTGAAATTTTGAGGAAAACATATATGAATAGATTTTACCTATGTATATTTTTTTATTGATAACACTTTAAATCTCATCAATAGTTACTAAACAAATAAAAAAAAACGTGTGTGTGTACTTATGTACACACGTAAGAAGTTATACTTCTTTGGCATAACAAAACAAAAATAGCTAAAGATTTCATCCCGTATGTCACAACTCTCTATTTGTAAAAGGTATGCAGCTAACTTCATCGTGTCGCTTTTTGGCTGTCGGTGTGCGCACGCATCGTAAAAATTTTACTCTCATATTTTTTTCAAAAATAAAAAAATAAAAACGGTTGACAAACACAGGCGAATAAGGTCCTGAACTATTTTTTCTTTGCCTATTTATGTATTATTAAGATACTTACTAGGTATCATTTCCATATGGTATACTAGCGGCTCACCCTTGCTTCGTTCGGATTCGCCTCTAGAAAAACAAAAACAAATCTATCCCTCGGGAACCGTATATTTTTCCGGGATAAAAAGTAGCCTATGTGTTATTCCAGACTATAATCTATCTCTATGCCAAATTTCATCCAGATTCGTTCAGCCGTTCTGGCGTGAAAGAGTAACAAACACACATCCATACATACATTCTTACAAATTTTCGCGTTTATAATATTATTGCTCAGAAACATGTATCTTTATAGAAAAAATTCTATGGACAGAATCTATACTATCCTGTCAGTTGTTGTATGAAAAGACAGGAAAAAGACGTTGGTAACACCACGCTCCTTGCGTTAGCGTCCAACGTTCCGTCAAAGATTAAATTTCAAAAGACAGTGTCATTTTCATACATTTTTTATGTGACGTTTGGCGTGAACGTTGTCAGTAACGTAATTCTCTACAACCGCAGGCCAGCAAAATTCGTTTACTATTATGTCTTACATTGTTACGATAATATAAATACTGTAGATAGATATTTCTAGTACATTACAAATCTGTATAATAAACATAGTTTTTTGATTAAAACACCACTAGCGCCTGTTCCCATAAAGTCATAAACTTTTATTTCCGCTCGCAACAACTTGATATTTGCTCTATCAATATTTGTTTTATATAATAACATAACCATTGAGATAGATTAAAAATATAAATCCTCAAAGTATGTTGCGTAGTTTAGTTTAGTCACGGTAATGTATTTTTATATAACACTAGCGACTCACCCTCGCTTCGCTCGGGTTCGTCCCTAGCTTGTTTCCTATACAAACTTTCATCCCCATTTTCACCCCTCTAAGGGCTGATATCCGGGATAAAAAGTATCCTATATCCTTCCCAGGGTCTCTAACTATCTTCTTAACAAATTTCATCTAAATCAGTTCAGTAGATCCAGAGAAACGTCACAAACTTACAAACTCACAAACTTTACCTCTATAATATTAGTATAGATTGCCGTGGTTTGGCTTTAGTTTTGAGCGCAAAAAAAGTTTATATAGTTACTTTTTTCATTTCTAAAATAATTCCTATTTATTTTTTAGTTAGGCAGTTTAGTTTAGTTTTTTAGTTATTTTCTGTTCTTTTAGTTAGGCAGTTATTTGAAAATTTAGAAAATTTGCTCTAAAAAAACTATGTGCAATATAGGTAAGTGATAATGTGGGTACTTACGACTATCACATAGAAAAATAAACATTACGCCGATTGCTCCCAAAATCGCACGAAAACTCACTAACGTTGTTTTTACACCAGACCTACTTTGGACACGTTTTTTGCTGAAACCGAAACTAATTTAGCTCCAAAACTTAAATCGAATCTGACAGTTTGGTCGGACGCTAACTTTAATAAATAATGAAAAGAGATAATTAAAAGGGACGTTCATGTTGTGGTTTCTATAAGATGTAAGATTGCATCATTTTAAAGTTATTTAGTTCAAAATACTCTTGAAATGAATACGTTATAATTAAGTATAAGTAAACTGAAGGAGTCTGAAGTAAGCGT